CCCCCCCCCCCCCCCCCGAGCTCCTTAGATGCAGCCCCTCCTGTTCATAACCCTGCCCCACAAATTCCAGCTACCTGGGCCTCCCCACATGCCAGTCTTGGCTTACTCTACTCAGCAGGCCTGCTGGGGTGTGGCCATGGGCCTGCCCAGGGCTAGTCCTGGAAGCTGCCTCCAGGCAGGAAGCGGGCACTCAGGGGGCTTACCCTCTTTCGTCCCCTCGGCTCAGGAAACATTGCCATGTGCTTCTAGTCCAACATCCAAAACCGTGGTTTTAAACTTCCTCGGTTTTACGATCGTGTGGCACGGGGACAGTTTCCATGGCAGTTGTTCCTTCCTGGGTGTGCCACTGGCACACGTTCATGACTCTTCCTCTTGTCCTATGCTGTCTTCTCTGTGGCAGACAATCTGCAGGGCTCCCAGGGACACACAGTTTCAGGAGTAAGTTCTTAACAGTCCAGAACCGCTTGAATTTTCTCTGTGCCGTTCGTTCCCATTCCTCCCCCCACTCCCCACCCCACCCCGTACCAGTTACTCTTCCGGTTTAGTAGTGGATCCCAGACAGACAGTGTGATTGGCTGTCATTGTGAAGACAAAGAACCAGGACTCGAGTTACTTCAATTGTCATTGCGTGTGTGACCGAGAGGTTTTATTTGTGTTTAAAACCGCGACACAGCGTGACCTGTGAGGTAAGTTTTTTCTTCTTTAAAAAAACATATTAATGAAATGAAGAAATGTTAATCCTTTTTGGTACCATAATGCTCATTTTGATAATATTTTTTTTAATGGCCTGACTATGTAGACAAAGTTCAACGAAAGGGCATTTTCACTGTTTCTTTTCTAGCTACTGTTATTTTATTTCATCTCGTGATCATTTGTTGTGTAAAGGAGGGGACGCTCCAACGCGATCCGACCCTCGGGCCGAGGCCCCTGTGAAGACAGTAGCACTGGGGCCAGATGTCTCGCAGGCACACCTTGGGCCTTGGTTTCCCCACCAGTAAATGCAATGCCTGGGCAGGACGACGCAGCCTTGCACTGGGGGGCACAGTATCCAGTGTCTTGGCCTGGGCCTGCCTCCACCTGTGTGGGAGGGGCTGAACTAAGGAAGCCCTGCCAGCCTCGACCCTCCACCTCTTCCTACCCCTGGACTGTCCTGGGCCTCCCAGGCCCGAAATCCATCCTCAGTGTTCTGTTCCTGAGAACTGGGAATGGTAAAGAGACAACCCCCACCCCCAACCCCCACTCAGGGAAAGACCCAAAGGAGCGAAAGGGTTGGGCCTCGTGTGGAACGTGGGCAGGGCATTCTCCCGATTTCAAGCAGCAAGGCCGGAATAAGGCCTAGGTGGCTGGCCCGTGTGTGAGGGGGGCAGGGGTGTGGCAGGGGGCCAGGTGGGGCCAACTTAGGTGGAGACATGGGTGTGTGTGGACACTGTGTCGGGGTGCCCAGGGGCCCCCCCCACCACTCCTGGCCCCGACAAGGCCCTGCTCGTGTCACAGGTAGGACCCTTCGGCCACTGTGGCCCCCAGGACAGATGGAAGCTGCGGCCCACAGGTGGGACTGCTTCCAACTCATGAGAAGGATGGGGTGGGGCACGGCAGGGTCTCAGGGGTGGGCCTGGGCGGGCAGGTTCCCCAGATGGCAGGGTCCAGGTGTGTAGGCTCCCCGGGACCCTCCCCAGCATTTGCCCAGCCAGCCCAGCTACCCTCACGCTCACCGGGAAGGGACGAGGCCTGGGCCTGGGAGTCCTGGAGGCACATCAGGGCCTTTTGAAAAGGACATGGCTCCTGTGGTCACCACCCAGCCTGCTCCTCGATCTGCTGGGTCATCCCAGGAGCAGAGATATGCTGTCCTTCCTCCCACCTAGAAAAAACAAAAGCACAACAAGCCAGCCAGCTTTTTGGCCCCCTGCTCGTCTTGCTGCCCCCCCCCCCCCCCCGTCTCCTGGTCCCAGGACCTGCTCTTCCCACCCCGTTTTCCTGCAAACCAGCTCCCACGGGGTCGTGGTGGGAGCCCAGGGCCAGTTCTTGGACCTCACCTCGGCCACAGCAGCCCTGCCGTGCCATGCTCCTGCCACCTGTGACACTGGATCTGCGGACAGCCCCCCGCCCGACCTGTCCACACTTGCTCCTGGGGGGCCTTCTGCCCACGAGCAGCGATCCCCAGCGCCAGACGTCTCACCTGGGCTTCTGATGAGCACCCCAGACTTGGCCCCGTCCCGCCCAGGGCTCAGAGCAGAGCCTCAGGAGTCCCTCTTGCCTCTGCTGCTCTGTCCCACCTGCATGCCGTCAGTCCAGAAGTCCTGTGGATGGAGCCGTCAGAGTATCTCCAGAGGCTGCCTCCCCCTCCCCGTCTCCACACAGAAACGGGGCCCTCATTGCTCCCCCTTCATTCAGGGACGGGCCACACACGCAGGTTTACCAAGAGTGGGGAGCAGTGGGGCTCCGGGGTGCTCCGGGAAGTGGGTGGGAACAGGATGGCGGCTCCACCGGAGACTCCCACAAACTGCCTGGAGAGATCTCAGGAGAAAGGAACCAAGGCAGAAGTCCCCTTTTCATCCGAAATCCTGCTCGTGTTGTTCCTTATGTATACCCAATTTAACGCTTGTGACTTTTCAGTTTACTCCCTGAAGGCTGGATGGGCACGTGCCCATTAGGCCGTGTGCAGTCCCAGCCCACTGGTCCCCACCCCCCAACCTTGCTGTGCCTCCCCTGCCCCGCAGACTAGAATGCGGTGTCCCCTCTTCAGCCTGCACCCCACTGCTGCTTCTTGGTGCCCCCACTGCTCTCACACCAGACCCTCAGAGTCATCCGGCTGGGCTCTGGTCCTGGGCACACGGAAGGGCCCAGATACACCACTGCAGGGAGGACGGGGGGTGGGGAGGTCCACCCGCTTGCCCCACACCCTGCCCCCACCCCCACCGCCCTATGGGCCCCAGCAGAAAGCAACCAGACGAGGTCTTCTGCTGTACTAATGTATTCCATCTTTCAAAAAGAAAGACATGATTTTAATATTACTTAACAATATGTTAAAAAAGTAGCCAGGCAGGCCTCCGTGTTAATACAGTCGTACACTCTCTAACAGACTTGATGGTGTGAGTACTGGGTGGGGTTTTGTTTTTGAACTTTCTCATTCTGCAAGGGATCTTACACAAGCTGGCTACAAGTCAGGGGGATCAGACACAAACAGCGCAACGTGTACACTCTTAAACAGTAGATTGTGGAGGAGAACGGAAGAGCGCCTGCCCGCCCAGCCCGCCTCGGGTGGGATGCAGGGCACACGTGAGCTGAGTGACGGCAGTGCCCCGGCGGGGACAGATGACAGGACAGGGCGAGATGCAGAGGCAACGAGCCACGTGGATGACGGAACGCGTCTCTGGCCACGGCCCAGGCTCTGAGGCCGCGTGGTGGGAAACTGGCGGGAGCCACTGTTCCAATCCGACAGCACAGAGCTGTGGTCGAAGCCTCGCTCACAGACTACACGCACACGAGCTACCAACGCGGGCCGAGCAGCGAGTTCTCGGTCTGGGGGTGGTCTCGGGTGCGGTGGCCCACCCGGCACAGCCCTGGGCAAGCACAGCAGCTCCGAGGCCTGGCCCACCTCCTGCGCGTCCCTCTCCAGGCGGTCCTCATTCAGTGGGCGGCAAAAGTGGCCTTTTTCAAGCTAAAATTGGACCAGTTGATGGACAGTCTTTGTCGGGTCTGTCTAGCCGAATCCAAACAGAATCTGTGGAGACAAAGAGCCAAACGGTCACGGAAGGAAACGGCCCACGTTCTCACTGTGGCTGGCAAAGCCTAGTGTCCTCCGGAGAGGGGGGAGTGTGGGGAGAGGGGTCAGAGTAGGGAAGGGCCCTCAGGAGGGAGTCCCCCACTTCAGGACACTGGCCAGCGCCCTCAGTGTCCTCCGGTTTCCCGTGTCCTTCTTCTCCAACTTGTCCCCCAGGGAAGCTGCTGCCCAAGGAAAGTTTCTGATGAGCCTGAGTCAGTGAAGGTGGCTCTGCCAACGGCCACCACCCTGCCTCTGTCACCTGTTAAGTCACAGAGATCCCCCCCCCCCCCCCCCCCCGCCGTCCTCACTTATCCACGAACACACGGGGAAGCGCGATGTGGGAGGAATGGGACTTTTCATGGCCAGACTCAGCCCCACTGCTGCCTGCACTGCCCACCCAGCACTCAGGGCCGCAGCGGGCGCAGAGGAGCACCTGCGGCCTCAGGCGCCAGCCTCCGGCCCCGGGCTCCAGTTCTGGGTCACACGCTGCATGCCAAACAGGGCTTGGAAAAGACCACACTTTGCCACCTGCTTCCCAGGCGACAGTGGCTGATTCTGTATTAAACGAAGAACATTTTCTTTCAAAAGCCTTTACTTGGCATAATTTCTGAAGTTTTCACCTTTCCAGCTCTCATTTGGGTAGCAGAAATTTGAATTAAGCCTGAAAATGGTTACTGCTGTCTCACCACTGGAAGTGGAAGTGTGTTGGTTTACACAGTGGTTAAACCGACCAACCTCAATTTCTTGTGCAGCTCGCCCGGCAGTCTGTGTCCAGGTAGAAGGGTCTAACCCCCCCTCCCCCCACCCCGCCCTGAACCTCACTTCTCTTTCCCCGGCCAAACTGGTCAAACCCCGAGTCCAGCAACGTCACCTTCTGCATCTTCCGGAAGCTCTCCCTTCTGTTTCTACTATCTCCCTTCTCCCGCAGCCGCTCCCAGCGGCTCCCCCTGGCACATGTGTGCCCCATACGTCCCCAAGAACAGTGACTTCGATGCTTACAAGGGTCACGCACGGCCCCGCTGCAAGCCACTCCACAAAGAGCTCCAACCCAACGGAAGCAAGGCCTCTGACGGGCTCTCAGGGCACAGGACACACAGCCCAAGCTGCTCCTTGGGGCCCCGAGGCCCAGAGTCCCCTGGCTCTGCCGAGCCCCCTCCACACACCCGGCTCCCCTGCACCTTATGCTCTGATACCACCTCCCCATCGGGCCTCCGTGCTGTCAGCAGTGGGCTGTGTCACACGTACAGAACACGTGTGCACAGGTAACCATGACACGAAAGCCTGGGTGGCCACGCCCCCAACCCAGGGGGAGAAGCCCAACACCACCAACCCGACAGCACCTTGCTATCCTCTCCCAGGAGGCAGCCCTGCCACAGGTGATAATCAGCCCCAGGTCTCATGGTTCCTCAGCAGTATTTCGTGTGCTGATTCATGGACTTCCAGAAACAGAACCGTACTATTATTTTTTTCTTACTGCTTTCTTTCAACATGATGTTGTGCAATTCCTCCACGAAGCCACACTTTGTTATTTTCAAGGCCGTAAGAGCAGACCACGGGGAACAGACAAGTGGACGCCGTGCTCACGTGGTTCGGCCTGGGCCGAGCACATGCGCACCCATGTGGGGCAGGCAGTGGGGCAGGCAGTGGGGCTCCGTGAAACGTACCACTTCCACTCTACCCGATTCCGCCAAGCCCTTTCCCGCAATCGCTGGAGCCCCTCTGCGCTCCCAGAAGCGGTGGGCAGAGCCGCTGCTCCTCTGCGCCCAGCTCCCGCTCAGGCTAAAGACCTCGCCGGTTTACTGGTCACTTTTCTGTACCGCCGATCATTTTGTTTGCCCATTTGTCAACATGTTTGTCTTTTTCTGTTTTATAATGTTTCTTTTTTATATTTTGATACTAATCCTTTGTGATGTGCTACAAATACTATTTCTTCACTTTCTTAAAAAAAACTGTTGATTTTAATGTTGTTTAATTTATCAATCTTTTATCTTATGGTTCTTTTTTTTTTTTTTTTTTTTTTTGAGTTTTTTTTTTTTTTTTTTAGCATTTATTTTTGAGAGACAGAGACAGAGCATGAGCAGGGACGGGGCAGAGAGAGAGGGAGACACAGAATCTGAAGCAGGCTCCAGGCTCCAAGTTGTCAGCACAGAGCCCGACACGGGGCTTGAACTCACAGACCGCGAGATCATGACCTGAGCCGAAGTCGGACACTCAACTGACTGAGTGCCACCCAGGCGCCCCTATGGTTGTTGTTTCTAAGGAATCTTTCCCTACTCTGAGGTCAAAAATATATTCACCTATATTCCCAATTAAAAGGCTTGCTTTTGACATTTAGAATCTCAACTCATCTAAAGCTGACCTTTGAGTATGGTGTGAGCTAAGTATTCAAATTGAAATGTCACAGCCCCATTTATGAACACACCTTCATTTGTCATAAACCAAAGCTCTGTGTTTGTATAGCCTATTTCTGGGCTCCACGATATTCCACACGAATATCATGATGTTTTAATAATCCTGACTTTCTAAGTCTTTAGCATGGGCAAGAAAATGAGCATCAGTATCAACCCTTTATAAGGTTTCTTTGTTTTGCTTTGCTTTTGCTTCTTATAAATGTAATACACATAAGGAAGAACAAATGAAACAGACGTGCACTATAAAGAAAAATTATAAGGCACACACTGTGGATCGCAAGAATCAAGCCCTGGGACGCTGCCAGTACCCAGGCAACCCCACCCAGCACCTGCTTCAGCCACAGCTGAGCCCCGCCCTGCTCCCAGTAATCACTATTCTGGCTTTTTAGGTCAATAATTTCCTTGCTTTTCTTTATAGTCTTAACATCTATGTGTAGTATTCCCGAACAATATACTCTCCCCTCAATTCAGACAGAACATCTCCAGGAAATCCCCAATTTTCCTGTGTCCCTTTGTCGTCTGTCACCTCCTTGGCTCCCTGGCCCTAGGCAAACGGCGATGTGTTGTCTGTCACTACAGATGAACCTTATTTTCTGGAATCTCATGTAGATGGAACTTCACGGGATGCACTCCTGTGCACTAAGTACACTGCTTCTCACATCCATCTATGGTGTTTCATCAGGAGGATGCTTCTCATTGCTGAGTGGCGTCCACCAGATGGACAGAGCATGGTTTATCTGTTCATCTGCTGTGGATATCTGGGTTGGCCCCCGTTTCTGGCTATTATAAATAAAACTTCTAGAAACATTCATGTGTAGGTCTTTGTGTGGATACGCTCTTGTTTCTCTTGGGCAGACAGCCAGGAGTGGAGCTGCTGGACTGATTGGTGGGTATATTCAAAAGATGTACTTCAGCTGTGTCTAAATTGAACTTTATATAAACAGGGTATTATTTACATTCTCGTGTCCTGCCTTTTGTTGACTATTCAGTTTGTAAGATCCATGTTGCAGACTGCTCTAGTTCACTCCTTTTCGCTGCTGTATAGCATTTCATTGTGTGACTGCAAGCACAATATATCCATCCTAACATGTTTTAAAAACGCTAAATTTTGTAACATTCTTCTTGGGTTTTAAAATCTACAGATAAATTTTGGGAAACACGACAGCTTTATGATACTGACTTTTCCTGTCAATGAATACAGGATCTGGGTCTTCAGTGTTCTTCAGTCACGTTTCAAAGTCTTCTATGCATAAGTCCTGTGCAACTTTTGTTAGGTTTATTCATGGACATTGCACAGATTCTGGTGCTATTATAGATGCTGTCTTTATTTAAATTACATTTTCAAATTATGGATGCTGTAGAGAAATGTAACTTCTGTACACTGATCCTTACTAAATTCTTCTGTAATCCCCTTTGTAGACCCTTAGATCATCTGTAAAATGGAATTTTATTTCCTCCTTTCCACTCCTTAAGCCTTTAATTTCTTTTCTTCTCTTATTCTGCTGTCTGGGAATTATAATTTAAGGTTGAACAGAAGTGGAAACAGAGCACCTCTGTTTTGCATGTGCTTCCATGTTTCCCAATTCAGAAAACGTTCCATGTGAATTTCTTTTCTCTCTCTTCTTTTGGTAAATCGTTTCAGGTTAAGGATACTTCCTTCTATTGCTAGTTTACCATTTTTCTTCTTCTTCCTCCTCCTCCTCCTCCTCTTCTTCTTCTTCTTCTTCTTCTTCTTCTCTTTAATTAACAGAGTGCTAAGATTTTATCAAGTGTTTTTTCTGAACCTATGGAACGATCATATGGTTCTTCGTTAATGTATCAGTTTAGTAAATCGCATTTGTGGATTTCCTAATATTAAATACTCCTTGAATTCATCCCTGGGGTACATCTGTTTGGTCGTATATTGCTTCCTAAAATACTGTTGGATTTGAACTTTTTCTTGATGTGAACTTTTTCTTGATGATTTTACATCTAATACTCATGACTGAAAGAGATCTGTAATTTTTCATGTTTTCTGTATCGCTTTTTAGCAGATTTTGGTATAAAATTCTTCCTTCTCTCATAAAATGAGGTGGGAAGTCCTGTGTTGTTTCCATTCTCTGGTAGAATCAGTATAAGCTTGGATAATCTGTTTGAGGTTTTGGGAGAATTCTCTGCAAAACCGTCAGAATATAGTTTTCTCACTGGGAAGACTTATAACTGCTTTGATTTCTTTGAGGGTTACTGGATCATTCAAGCTATTTATTGGGTTGATTTCGTACCTAAGTTTTAAAATTAATCATGCAGTTGTTCCCAGTGTCCTCTTGTATCTTAATTACTGCAGCACCTGTAGTTATTAATTATGCCATCCTTTCCATTTACATGTTCATGAAATTAAAGAAACCCTCTTTATTATGGAAGATTTAGACCCACACAAAATCGAATGCAGTGAAATGGACACAGCCATGGTCCAACTTTGATAATCACTGACATCCTGGTTCCTTTCCATCTAATTACTATATTCTTTTGTGTCTTTTTTTGTTTTTCTGATTTTTCTTGACCAGTCTCTCAAAGGTTTATTTATGTAGTTAATATTTGTAGAGTCAAATTTTGGCTTTGTTGATCTTCTCTGTATTTGGTTTTTATTTCATTATCTTTCTTTTATGTATTATCTCCTTTTACTTTCTTTGCATTTGGTTGTTCTTCCCCTAATTTCTCAAATGAAATCCCAAGTCATTGTTTTCAGTTTTAAAAACTCACTTGGCAGCATCCAAGGCTTCACTGAAAGAGCAAACTTTTTCCACATCCTTCAGGTTTTCATATGCGTTTTCCCTATCTTTTAGCTCCGTGTATCTAAAATGTCTTACTGTGGTTTCTTATTTATTAACCCATGAGTTATTTACATGTATATACTTTCAGATTTCCAAATATTAAGGGACTTAAAATTTTACTTGTTGCACATTTCCTACTTAAACATGTTACGGGCAGAGAACACAAATTATGCATATTCATTCTCTGAAACCTCTGAGCCCTGCTTTCCATGGCCCCGCAAGTGTTCTGATTCTGTGAACGTTCCCTGTGTGCATAAGAACACAGACCCCGGTTCCTGGACACAGTTTCATCTGTACTCATTAGACTCAGCTTGCTGGCCAAGCTCTGCTGATCCCCCACATCCTTGTGGGTGCTTGCACTGCTCAAGCGAGCAGCCACACAGAGAAAGCGTCTGAGATATCCTACAAGAAGAGTGGATTTGATTCTCCGTGCAGCCCAAAACAATTTTCCTTTTTGTGTTTTGAAGCTATTTCATTAAGGACTTAGTTTAAAATTTCTAGGTCTTCCTCACACACTGAACCTTTTATTACTGTATAGCAACCTTCAACTGTCCCTTATATTAAAACATTCTGTCTGATAATAACATAACTATACAGGGGCGCCTGGGTGGGTCAGTCAGTTAGGCGTCTGACTTCAGCTCAGGTCACGATCTCATAGCTCGTGGGTTTGAGCCCCACGTCGGGCCCTGTCCTGACAGCTCAGAGCCTGGAGCCCGCTTCGGATTCTGTGTCTCCCTCTCTCTCTCTGCCCAACCCCTGCTTGCTGTCTCTTGAAACTGAATAAACATTACATTTAAAAATAAAATAAATAAATAAATGACATAACTATACAGTAGCTTCCTTTTCCCTCTTTATTTCCACCTTTCTATTCATCGTTTTAGGTATGTTCAGTATGTTCTCGTAAATGGTACGTGTATGTGTGTGTGCGTGCATGTGTGTAAGTATGTATATGTGCATTTAAAATTATTAACACAATCTGACAAACTTTTTATCTATAATGGTTGCTGGTAAAACTGAACTTGTGTCTCTCGTGTTTTTAAAATTTGTTTACTGTACCTTCTTTACATTTGTTTTTTCTGAGTTTTGATTTTTTTTTTTCCTTCTATAGATTAGCAATTTATACAGCCTATTTCTATTCTTTTAAGGACTGCTTGTGAAACTGTATCACCTTCACCTCAGAGTCTCAATATTAAATCCTTAGCTGTTGGGGCACCTGGGGGGCTCAGTTGGTAAGCGTCCGACTTTGGCTCAGGTCACGATCTCACGGTTCCTGAGTTTGAGCCCCGCCTTGGGTTCTGTGCCGACAGCTCAGAGCCTGGAGCCTGCTTCGGATTCTGTGTCTCCCTCTCTCTCTGCCCCTCCCCCACTCACACTCTGTCTCTCTCTCACAAATAAATAAACATTAAAAAAAACCCTGAAATACTTAACTGCTAAATACGTGAATGATAAAAGAACCTGAGGATACTCAGCTCTACTTTACACGAACTCACAAGCTACTGTTCAATACGGTGGTTCTTTCAGACATAATGTCAACTGGCTATTAGTACTATCTTGTCACAAAGAAAGCATTTTATTTACCGACATTTATCAGGCTGTTTCTCTCTCCTTTCTGCAAATCAGACTTTCTAAGATCAATCTTTTTTCTTGAAGTGTAATCTTAGATTTTTTTTTTAATGTTTTTATTTATTATTGAAGGAGAGAGAGAGAGAGAGAGAGAGAGACAGCATGAGCGGGGGAGGAGCAGAGAGAGAGGGAGGAACAGAATTCGAAGCAGGCTGCAGGCTCCAGGCTCTAAGCTGTCAGCACAGAGCTCGACGCAGGGCTCGAATCCAGAAATTGTGAGATCATGACCTGAGCCGAAGCCGGACGCTTAACCGACTGAGCCAACCAGGCGCCCCAGATGTTTTTTTTATACAGATGTTTTTGTAGCAAGTTCCTGTAGTTTTTCTTTTATGTTAAAGAATAGGTTTGTGGGAAACATAGTTATAGACTGACAATTTTCTCCCAGCACTGAAAATATCACTCCATGGTCTTTGGGTTTTACATTTGCTATGTTGAGGAATGGATTTTTATTTGTTTGTCCTAATGGTATATATTGTACTGTTGAATTTGTAGATTTGGATTTCTCATTAGCTCTTCAGAGTCCCCAGGCACCATTTCTCTTTACATACTGCTTTTCTATAGTCCCCATCTTCTCCAAAGGGGGGGGGGGGTCCCAGTTAAATGTATATGTTAGACAGTCTCTCTCCTCCATGTCTATTTTCCTTGAATTATGGTGCATTCGGGGGGTATGTCTGAGATATTTCTTCAAATTCACGAATTCCCTCTTCAGCAGTGTCTAAGCTGTTTATCGTGTATCTATTAAGATCTTGATTTTAATAATTATATTTTTCATTTCTAGATGTTTGTTTTCCCCAGGTCTTGGGTGTTTGATAATCTCTGTTTATAAGCACATGCATGATTTCAAAAATATATGAGGCCTACAGACCTACCTTGGGAAAATTTCCCTCCAAAGTTCTGCTTTTATCCAAGAAAAGTCCCTATTCCATCCCTTGCTCCCCAGAATTTAGCTTCAGGGCAAACTCTCTTACTAATGCAAGTGATTTACCTATAGGTCATTCTGGACTTTGTACAAACACATCTGTACCACTTGAGAATGACAATCCCATTTCTTCCTTCTGATTCTTATCCTTTTTTTTCTTCTTATGTCTTCGCAAACAGAAGTTGTGATGATGGGCATCCTTCTCTTCTTTTTTCTTTTTTAATCTCAAGGGGCAGTTTTTAATGTTTCACTGTAAGTATGGCATTTGTTGTACTTTATGGATACCTTTTATTATGTTAAGGATGTGCCTGTGTAGTCCTACTTAAGAGTTTTTGTAATGAACACATGTCCAACTTGAGCAGATGCTTTATTCCGTCTGCTGAGATACACACACACACACACATAAATTACATAATAAATATAATTTCCAGAAATATTTAGACTTCTTTTCTGTCCTATCCTATCCTGAACAATTAGAATTCAGAGCAAACACACTGCTCCTTGTGTGTGTGTGTGTGTGTGTGTGTGTGTGGTTACCTGAAACAAGTTAAAGTACTAACAAAGAAGGAACAAGGAGCTTTAAAATAAAATTTGCTTGCCAAAATTCACAAAGAAGATAAAATACTATCGAACACAGTACTAATAAAGTCTGATGCTCGTCAGGAAAACAGAAAATATCTAAAATGTTACTTTTCTCCTTAAAAGCATGCCATACAGAATGTTTCAGTGTCAGCACACATGAGGGTCACCAGGGATGCTTGTGATCATACAGACGTCAGGTCCCTCCCCAGCGCCTGACCCTGCAGGTGTGGGGAGAGGCCTGTGTGCCCCACTGGTGCAGCTGGTCCAGAGCACGTCGAGAACCACTGTCCTAAACCAGTCTTCACACAGAAGGGAGGGGAGAAGCGCCTGGGTGCAAGCGGCAGTGAGGAGGCCAGTGTGTGTGCTGGGGCTATGGAGGGACATGTGTGGCAGGCCGTCACAGGGCTGCAATGCTACTGAGGAGCCAGGCTCCTTGGCCAGATGACAGAACTTGTGCCCCACACAACTGGCAACGCCACGGGAGGGTCGTATATGGCAGCCGTGAACCCACATTACTTCAGACACAAGCCCCAACATTTACCTTTTGAAATACTCCACTTCCCTCTCGGTCTCGTCCATGTCCACGCTGTCTAGGTCGATATCTTTAGGCAGAAAGACATCATCTGTTAAACGAAAGAAACAAGGCAAGTCAGATTACAAGAGAAGAAACCATGTGGCTTTACTCTACTTAATTTTAACAGCTTCGCAAACTGAAAATGTTCTCCAAGATGAGATTTTACAAACAGCTAAAAGAGGGCAGCTGAGTCCCACGTGCTTGTGGACATCCAGGTCCAACCTGGACATCGGGGAACTCACGTGGTTGCTGAGCAAAGCAGCTGTCGCTTCAGGTCCCTCCAGAAGAGGCCCATTTGCTGACACCCAATCCCCAAGGGACCGGTCTTTAATTGACACATCTCCATGATGAGAGAGCCCTTCGGAAGACTCTTGGAAACCCAAGTGCTTGTGAGCCCAGAGGCTGCCCTAAGTCCCTACTGGGGGCAGGGGTGCACTAGTGAATAGAGAAGCTGCCCAGAGGGCAGCATGAAGGGGAGGAAAACGCTGTCCCTCACAGTAAGAGGGCACAATTGTACCCCGGTCCCAGACATCAACCTCTACAGGAAGATGGCTCTCCCAGACACTTGGTTTACATATGCAACATCCCAGAAACATCATCAAAAACTTTTCAGGCTGTTCCAATAAAAAAGCAAGGCTGCTTTTTCACTTTACAGTTAAATCACCCAATTTGAAAACAGGATAGCAGGGAGGCTAATGATTTGGGACTATTCCATCTCCTGGAATCTCAGCCAGTTTGAGGGTTTCAACTTCTCGCTTCTGCTCTGCCACCCCATCTGGTACCTGTGGGATGCCGGGCACTTCCTGGGCCCTGTCTGGGCCTCGCGCGGGACCATCAGTGCAGGCACAACAGCCAGCCCCATCAGAGAAGGGTGCAGAGTGTCCGCTTCCTGCAGACTTTGGCATGGGGCAATTTTTTATAACCTTTAACAAACAGACACACCTTTTCCCCCATCACTGGGGCACTTCCACAGCAGCACGAGACATGGTTCCCCTGTGTAAGCAGCTAGCACCACTGACGACCTCTGCCACCAGGCAGAGCGCCCTCACATCCGTGAGCTCACAGAAACGGCAGGGAAGAGCTTCCCTGTCGGGACCTGCGTGACCACAGCCCCACCTGCACAGACAGCCCCCTGCCCCTGCCGGACCCAGGCCCTTCTACTCTCAGCCTTCCTCCTCCGCAACTCCCCCAGTCCCTCCTTCCACCTGGATACCGACACCACCAAACCTCCACCCCTGCCCCAGACGGCTTTCCTGAGTTTCACGCTTATAAAGCTACCTCCTGCAAACACACGCCTTCGGGCGTCTGACCCCCAATACAGGCAACAGTGGGTCCCATACTCTGCTGCAAGCCTGCTCCTTTCCTGACAGTGAGCCTCCCATTGCCCCTTGCCCATAGCATCACACTCTCTAGGTGCTGGGCAAGCGTTCTGTGAAAAGTCAGGGACTCCCCCATCTCCATCCACTGCCACTGCTTCAGTGCTGGCCTTCACTAGCCGGCACAGTCATCCTCACAACACGCCCAGTCACAGCTGCCTGGCTTCCACGGCCCAGTCCATCCCTCCCCAGCCACAAAGACTACTCTGACCAGGGCTCTGTCTGGACATCGAGAAGACCTCGCTCGTCTGGCTGCCGACTCAACTCGCTGACGCCCTGTTCAAGGCAACACCGACGTATGAGGAAGAGCAAGATGGGGCAGGAGGGTTTTTTTGTTTGTTAGTTTGTTTGTTTTGTTAAAGTAGGCTTCATGCCCAGTGCAGAGCCCAATAGGGGCTTGAACTCAGGACCCCGGAGGTCAAGACCTGAGCTGAGATCAAGAGTAGGAAGCTCAATCAACTGGGCCACCCAGGAGCCTCAGGGGTGTTTACAGATACAATGAAAGTGAAGTCTAAGGTAGGAACAATCTCTAATCAATAGTCATTCCATTAACAGTTCTAGAAGAGGAACGACCACAAAAGCAGACAGAGCAGGTACATCTGCTAGGAAAGCTGTCTTAATAAAGCAATTTCTTTTTTTCCTTTAAAAAAAAATGTTTATTTCATTTGAGAAAAATGTTTATTTCATTTGAGTGCAGCGCTCTCACAAGCAGGGGGAGGGGCAGAGAGAGAGGAGAGAGAGAGAGAGAGAGAGACTCCCAAGCTCCGGTTAATAGCGCAGAGCCCAATGAGGGGCTTGATCGCCCAAACCATGAGATGGTGACCTGAGTCGAAATCAAGAGCTGAATGGTTAACCAACTGTGCCACCCAGGTATCCCAATAAAGCAAATTTCTTATATTCTTTTCTTCTGATTAGAACTAATAATCAGTATTGCACATCTTGGTATAAGGGGAAAAAAGAGAACCATGACCAGTTTCAGCACCACAAAGACGTTTTTCACAACAAAGCTATATTAATCAGAGTGGAAAGTATGACCCAAGTATTTCATATCCAGCCAGGTTGTCTGTTCATCATTAAGAGTGCAGGAGGGGCGCCTGGGTGGCGCAATCGGTTAAGCGTCCGACTTCAGCCAGGTCACGATCTCACCGTCTGTGAGTTCGAGCCCCGCGTCGGGCTCTGGGCTGATGGCTCAGAGCCTGGAGCCTGTTTCTGATTCTGTGTCTCCCTCTCTCTCTGCCCCTCCCCCGTTCATGCTCTGTCTCTCTCTGTCCCAAAAATAAATAAACGTTGAAAAAAAAAAATTAAAAAAAAAAAGAGTGCAGGAAATGTTCTGCTTTGCCAAAGCTCAGAGAATTCTGTGCCCCTGACCCTTGCCTGGGGACACGCGCCCGGGAGCAAGCTCCACCCAACCAGAAGAGGGCTGGGAAAACCTCACAGGAGGACCAGCACAAGCACGGAATGTAATCAGCTGTGGACCTATGAGTACTGTGTGTCTGACACAGCGGAAACAACGCGGCTGAAACCGGGAAGAGAAGGGACTGCGAAATGGAAAGGATGGGATCGGCTCACAGACTGTTGCCCCGGCAATAAGTGGGTGTCAGAGCGCTTCCCGTGGAGCCAGCAGTGGAAGGAAAGCAGGGACGGGGCACTAGACGTGCAAGTGTGGAGGAATGCACTCAGACAAGACTGCCAAGTGTCGTGAAAACCAATGATTTTTTACAAATAAAAGCTAAGGAAACACATCACATAGAAAAAGAAACCGTAAGTATAAAATACACAGAGTAGTTATAAACTGTAATCAGAGCCGACACAAAGCACACAGTAATAATACATGGGAATGGGCTTAAACTCACCTGTAGATAAGAGTTTCCATTTGGCTCACAAAGCAAGACTCAGATTTGTGCTACCTAAAATCAGAGAATGAGCTAACACTAAGTGACTCAGAAAGGGGTTAGCACAGAGGGGCCCCGCCAGGCGAATGGAGACAAAAAAGGGGCAACGATCACCATCTTAACTAAAGTAGAATCCAAGCCAAAAGCACAAAAACACAACAGAAGGATATTTTTCAGTACTAAAAACCACAATTCACTAAGAAGATATTGTAGTTAGCTGTTATAGTCACATAATTATACATATGGTTATATAAAATATATAGTTATTTATAGTGCACCAAATAACACAAACACCACCTTTATAAAGCAAAACTACAAGAAATACAACATAGAAACTCATTAATAATAAATAAGAAAAGACAGGTCAAGAGCACAAAAAACAACTATGGGATACAGAAGACCTAACCCTTACTATAACTCATCGATACATGATGGGAGATACATATCCAATTTTCCCCATGATAACAGAAAAAATACACTTTTATCTGAAGTATATATGGAACAGTCACAAAAAAATACCTGTAAATTCCACAAAACAAAAATATTACAAACAACAAACTCTGATCACAATGCAGGAAACCTAGAAATTATTAAACATACAAAAACAATTCTCCCACCCAGAAACCTAAAAGTCACCTATTACACTACTAGTGAATGAGGGATAAAAACAAAGAAATTACTGAATTTCTTAAAAACAAACAAAAAACCAAAATGGAAACATTATCAGACTATGAAACGTATTTAAAGGAATGATCAGAGAAAAATCTGAAGCACTTAATACTTTGATCAAGAAAAATGGTGGAATGAAAACAAATGAACTCAATTCCCAAATGAAAAAGTTGGGAAATAATCAAAAAAATAAAGGAAAGCACAGGAAGAAAATAAAGATAAAAAGCAGAAATTCATGAGGTATTAGAACAACAGTAAACCTATTTAATAAATCAAGAGGCTGGTTAAAAAAAAAAAAAAAAAAAAAAAGGTAACAAAACAAACTATTTTTTTTTAAATAGGCTCCACACCCAATATGGGACTTGAACTCAACCACCCTGAGTGAGATCAAGAGTCACATGCTCTACCAACTGAGCCAGCCAGGCGTCCCCAAAATAGACAAACTATTAACTAATGAATGAAACAGAATGGGGAGAAAACATAAATAATGATGAGGAAAATAGCCATTGAAAATAAATTTTTAAAAATAAGGTACTTTGCACACATCTACGTAAATAAGTTGGAAAACCTAGCTGAAAAAATAATTTACTATGTGAATATAGTTTACTAAAATTAACCTCATTAGAAACAGCAATGCCAAATAAACTAATTTCCATTTCTATCTTTCTCAGAAAAGAGACAAAATTATCAAGGACCTAGCCCATAAAAAAGCACCAGGCCCAAAGGGCTGCATAGGAGTTTTTCTCTCAGAACTTGAAAGCTTTGATAGTCTCAATGCAGGGTGAATTGTTCTAGAACACTGAAAATGAAAAACAAACAAGAAACCCTAATTTTTTACATTTCTTTATGAAATATGATACTAGTAGCCAAAGCTAATACAGGAAGCAGGAAAAAAAAAAAAGTTACAGACCTGTATCTCTTATCAATATTGGTATGAAAATGCTAACTAAAATCAGAGCAAACAGAACCCAAAACTAAAGAATACAATACACTACAAGCAAATGGGCTTCATTCCAGGAATCCAAGCCTGCTTCAACATTAGGAAACCTAATAATATAATAGGTATAAGAAGAAAAATCATATTTATGTCCACAGATTCCAGAAAATCTTTCACCAAATTCAACACCCATTCCTGATTAAAAAAAACCACTCCATAAAAGTAGGACTCATTGCATATTTTCTCAAAATGATAAGATATATAAACCTTACCCTAAAGCCAGAATCTGACTTAATGTGGAAACACCAGACATTTCTGCTAAGATTGAGAATGATACAATCAAACCCTGGGAGGGTAAGACTTGGGAAAGTTGGAATAAAGCTTTCTCTATTTGTATATATATGATAGAACAGCTGGAGAACCCTAGAGAATCACTCAATAACACTCAAACAATAAAATGATTCAGTAAGACAGAAGACATAAAGTTAATATACAAAAATCAATAGCTTTTGTGTACACAAACAACCACTCAGAGCAGCACTATCCAACAGAAATATGATGTGAGCCACAAATATAATTTAAGATTTTCTGGTAGCCACAATAACAAAATTAAAAATAGGTAAAATTAATTTTAGTAACATACATTTCGTTCAATTAAAATATAGCCAAAAGACGATCATTTCCACCTGTAATCAGTACAAAAATTACATTGTTGTATTTTGTATTTATATTCATTCTTTTCATACAAGGCTTTCAAGATCCACTGTATGTTTGCACTACAACACCCTCCACTTGGAGCAGCGACATTCCCCGCGCTCAGTGGTGACGTGTGACTAGTGGCTAATGTACATAAAGCGCAGAGCGAGAAGACATAACGGTGAGGAGTCCCACAATGACATTGCAAACGAGGAAGATCGAATACGTAGTGAGCAAGAAACTCAGTAAGAAATGTGGACAATCTACGAGAGAAATTTCAGAACATTCCTAAAAGCCACAAAAGTGGACTTGAACGAGTGGAGAAACACTCCTACATCTGGAAAGGGCAATCAATTCAGAGAGGCATCAATTCTCCCCTAATGAATAAATTTAATGCAACTCCAATAAAGATACCAACAAAGCTTTTTTTATGGCCCCAGCACGCGGACACTGAAGTCCACACGGAAGCACAGAGAGGAATAAACAGCCAGGACAATGCTGGAAAACACCTATGAGGAGAGGCCTCACTGAAACACACAGGGCTCCCCAAATAACTAACTCAGTGCGGCAACAGCACACGACAAAGCAAAGCGGAAAAGAACAGAAATTCCAGAATAGAAATTTAGTGTGGCGCAAAGGAGATGTCCTGAATCACTGGGGCAGGATGAATTTTTTTTTTTTTAACTAAAAAAAAAAAAAAAAATTTAATGTTTATTTTTTGAGAGACAGAGCGTGAGAGGGGGAGGGGCAGAGAGAGAGGGAGACACAGAATCCGAAGCAGCCTCCAGGCTCCGAGCTGTCAGCACAGAGCCCGACGTGGGGCTCGAACCCACAAACCATGAGATCATGACCTGAGCCAAAGTCGGATGTTTAACCGGCTGAGCCACCAGGCGCCCCAGGACGAATTTTTAATCCCTGATGCTGGGCCAGCGGGCTAACCATTTAAAGAAAGAGCATATACTGGACCCAAGCCTCACAGGATACACAAGAACAAACTCCAACGTACCAGGCACTACATGAAAAAGGCGGAACCACACAAATGCTACAAGACACAGGCACACACACCCCTCTTCCACCTTTGTGCTAGAGGGACGTTTTCTGACTGTTATTTAAAATCCAGAGGCAACAGGAGATCAACGAACTGACTATATAAAAGTGACAGAGAACACTTCCGCAAGGCTGAAGACAACCTGTGAACTGGGAGCACGTACGTATCTGCAGTATGTAACACATTAAAAGGCTAGTATGTCTAACGTGAAAAACTCTTATTAAACATGGAAATAAGAAGACCGAAAACCTAATTATAAAGTGAGAAAAAAATAAAGAATAGAAAATTCACAAAAAAGAGACAAACCGCTCTTAAGAACATGACCTCACCGTAATTAGAGAAAAATGGAAATGCAAACCACACTGAGGACCCTCTCAATGCTCCGTCTTCAGGAGTTAAGGCCTATATAATTAGGTCACGGTATTGTACTAGTGTTAATTTCTTAATTTTGATAACTGTGTTGTGGTTTTGTGAGAGAATATCCTTGTTTCGAGGAAATACACAGTGAAGTATTTATTTATTTATTTAAAAAATTTTTTTTTCTTCAATGTTTATTTATTTTTGGGACAGAGAGAGACAGAGCATGAACGGGGGAGGGGCAGAGAGAGAGAGGGAGACACAGAATCAGAAACAGGCTCCAGGCTCTGAGCCATCAGCCCAGAGCCTGACGCGGGGCTCGAACTCACAGACCACGAGATCGTGACCTGGCTGAAGTCGGACGCTTAACTGACTGCGCCACCCAGGCGCCCCCACAGTGAAGTATTTAAAGGTAAAGGGGCTTCATGTTTGAAATTTCTCTCCTTTGCTTCAGAAAAACAACAGAAGAGGGAAAAAGACAGACAAAGCCAATGTGGTAACACACTGATTTGCGGGAATCAAGAGTGTAGGGGAATTCTGTCCATCTATAATTATTTCAAACTAACAAAAGCAAACAATGGCCACTGTCTCTCACTGCAGTGACAAAGCAAGCCACAAGAAGCACAAGCCAGGAGGGACAAGGTAGCACCCTGGACAGGGGGCAGCAGCCACACTCCCCCCCCCCCCCCCCCCCCCCCCCCCCCCCCCCCCCCCCCCCCAGCTCCATATTTACCGATTGAGCTGCTGACTCTGTCTCCTTTCTTCTTCCTGTTTTTCTTGCTCTTGCCCTTGGGCTGAGGAGAGTCTGCGGGCACCAGCTTGCTGTCCTGAGGGTGCTCGCTGGGGGAGGCAGGCTCCTGGGGGGCCAGATTCAACCTTTCTTCCTTGACGTGGTTCAGCTGCTTTTTGTTATTGTTGTTACTGTTGACTTTCCTCTCCTCTCTTTTCTGCTCTGCCAGGGAAGCGAGGTCCAGGACTTTTGCCTTCGACTCAGTCTGGGGCCGCGGTCTGGGCTGGCTCTCGGAGGCCTTGGGGGGCTCGGCCGGCCTTCTTGCCGGCTCGCTGCTGGCCTTACTGGTCTGCTTGAGCCTTTGCTTGCCACTCCCCTCCTTGTGCTGATGCATGATGTCAAGGAGAAAAGACAGCGGCTCCTGCTGCTTCCCGCTGACCTCCTTCGGGAGGAGGAGCTTGGAGTCTCTGGCGTCCATGGGGTCGGTGGCGTCGCCGTCGGCCCCCGGCCCCGGCCCCGGCTCTGAGTGGTCCCCGTGTCTGGAAGGGGAGTGAGGTGAGGTCTCTGGTTCTTCCATTTGCTCTAGTGAGCCATTGTGCATGTTTTCAGAGTCAGGTACAGACTCTGCTGCTGCCTGGAAGTTTCTAGCAAGGATGTCCAACTTGGGACAGTCTTTGCTTGGCCTCTCCTTCTTCTTCTTTTTCACAGCCCTCAGCTTCTGAAGCTCCTGAAGCCGCTGAAACTCCTCCTCCTCCTCCTGCCGCCGCTGCTCCTCCCGGAGGTGCAGGTGCTCCCGGGCCCGGGCCTCTGCTTCCAGGCGCGCCTTCTCTTCCAGCTGCCGTGGGGAAAGAGGCAACTTAAGACAACAGCAAGTGTTCTAAACATGAAGACGCACACAAAACAATTAACTTTAAAACGAATTTATATAATAAGAACATAAACTCCGAAAGGGGATATATAATAAGCCCAAAGCTTAAAACACACTCACCCCAAATTACTTTACTCTCTGGAACCATGAGATTTAATCTTTCTACCCAGGTATATACACTCATTACTTTACTGGAGGCGGTGGTGGTGGCGGGGGCCACTTAGCAAACTATTCCTTACGGCCTCTGAGCTTGTGGCTGGGCACTTCTATAAAACAGGTCAAGGCAGCTGCGGTGCCCCTGCCCTGTGCCGGCCTCCCGCTGGAGCGTGACGTCTGGATGAGAACCAGCCGCGCACACCGATCACATGGCGGTTTAACGGCCGTGCCCCTGCCACCACAGCTGGGCAAGTGCGCCTCTGCGGGCGAGGCCGGTGGATCCACATGTCAGAAGTGCGCGCTGCACCGAAAAACCTGCAACTCCTTTTTCCCACCCTAGCAGATGAACAAAGGCCTCAACATATTTTCACCAGGGTCACAGAGCCAATGGCATGCTAATATATTTATTATATATACATGCTAATGTATTTCTGCCCTCCGGCGTGGCGTCACGTTAATATTCATGCCTGGCGAAGACCGTGCTTCACTGGTGAGACACAAGTCCAGGAGCCTCGGCACAAACTCTTCCTTCTGCCCTGACAACAAACAGAAGCCGTGAAGAGCGAGAGGCGGGGCTCTCTGCATCCCTGCGCTCCAGTAACAAACTTTGGCAAACACATCTGCATTTAGAAGTCCTTCCGGGTTTGCATGATTTTTCACAACATCTCAGTAGGCAATGTTTTTAAGAGACAATTTACTTGTAATTGTGAAAAACTTAAACATAAAATCATGTTAAAAATTTGATGACAGATTTTTAAAAAAACTTAATTGGACAATTCAGGTAAAACTTATTTAAAATCCTGGTTCCACCTATTAACAGAGAAGCCTTGGACACGGCAAGCAGCCACAGGCAGCTCCCGGAGTGGCCCCTGTGGGTGCTACTTTGGACAGGTATCCCAGCGTCTAGGAGCAGGGCGCCCCCTACAGCAGGTCAGGGGGTAAATCTGCCACAAGACAGAATCTATAGGGAACTCAAAACCAGGTACATGGTGCCTTCAACAACCAGCCCGTCAGCCAGACGCAAAGCAGGTCTGCGAGCCGCTCTGGAAGACGGGGTGCTGGGTACAGAGCACACGGGATGAGTGGGCCCTGGTGGAACACTCCTGGTGGGGAATACGTCTCACTGCCCCGCCCTAGTGGGGCTCGGCAGACCCCGGGCTCCTCGGGTGCAGAGCAGGCTTCTCCTCAGGGCCCCTCAACTCCACCTCGCCTGGGGCCGTGGAGCCCAACAGGGCTCCTGCTGGGTGGCCCACTTTGACACACGTGGGGGAGATTTCTACTCTGTCTCTGTGGGACCTCGCAGGTGCCTGGCCTCTTCCCGAAGCCGCCACCCCTCCTGCTGTCAGAGCCTGCGCCCTTCCAGGTTCCCTCTGCACAGCCCAGATCCATCTGCCACGGTCTGCCTCTGTAGGAGGCCGGAACCAGGATGGCCTTGGCATGGGCCCGGCCCCAGGGCGCTGAGGCACACAGAAGGGCAGACGCGGCCCGTGTCCTCACTTGCAGCACTAAGAGGAAGTGCTAGCGGACAGCCTCTGCACGTTGTGTCCTCCGCTGGCCCAACCCGTCTAGTCACGGCAGACGCTTGCTTTCGAGACAGCCCATGCACACGCCCTGCAGTGAGGTGCCCAGGGCTGCCCGCGACGGCCCTCCATCCCACTCTTCCACCCGGGGCTCCGATGCCACGTGCCTGCCCTCTTCCGGGATGGCTCTGCCTGATCGTCCTCTGCCAGCTGGGGGACGAGGAGCGAGGGGACGGGAGGAGCCCTCGGACTAGGTCCCAAGGATGTCGCTGTGCCAAGAGCCCTGTCCCAGCCGCATGTCGAAGTAACTTCTTTCCCCGCAGTCTCCCAAAGCCCACCGCGAACCCCCTTTGACTCCCAGCCAGGGGCTCCTTCCTCAACCTCCCTGGGAAGGAAGGCTCTTTCACAGACAGAGGTCGTGGGTCTGCTGCAGCGCCCCCGCTGGGCATAGGGACCCAAAGGCCTGCTTTAGATCCACTGACAAACTTGTGACTTTAAAAAGGGGAAGCTGTGTCCTGAAAATACAACATAGGGCTTCTGCCCGGCTCCTGCCACGGACACAGAGATGGTCCGGGGCCCTTGCGGCAGCATGGTGGGCATGGGGCCCCGAGGCCCGCCCGCCGCCCCCGGCAGCACCTTGTGGCACGCTCACCTTTCTCTGCTTGTGCCTGGCTCGCTTGGCGGCTCGGGTGCTGCTCACTGGCTTGGGCTCGGAGCTGTTTATGAACCGCAGAAGGTCCTCCACCCTGCGATGGTCAACCACACCCTCCCTCTCGGAGAGCTGGTCCGCTTTCTTAGGCTGTTCCTCTTTCCTCTTGGTCAGCCGCAAACGAAGCTTCTCCCTCATTTCTGCATAATTCCTACTTGTTGGTGCAGCCGGAGGCTAAGGCAATTAAATGAGAACATAACTCAATTAAGCTTCATGTTTTCATGACTCTGAATACTGCCAATTCCAGCACATATCCCTAGAAGTAAACTTTTCCTTATTTGTCAGGTAATAAGCGTTCATTGTGAAAAATAAGATAAACAAATGGTGGCAAAAAGGAAAACCTACCACAGTTACCCCAAGACCAGTTCTAGCACAGACCCTGTCAACCTTCACATGTTCGTGAAAAATGCGGTAACGTAGGACCAACTATGTACACGAACAGGTATTTTTAAACTGAAAAAGGAAAAAGAACCCACATGTACGGGTTAATGTACTTCTTACAGGATACAGTGATTATCTTTTCAAGTCAATAGTGTTTATACAGTCTCTTCATCCATTTGTAGTTTCTTGTGTAGCATCAAAAGGAACAAAGAAAACTGCCCTCAATCCCACTGCCAAAACGTCTTCCTGACACTGAACACACGTGTGCCCACTGAGCACATGCAGACAGAACAAAAGTGGAAAAAGAGCAAAATGCCAGTCGCTGCTTTTCCTCCCAGCCCCCCCAAGGCACCACGGCTGACGTCTGCTTGTACAGACAGACCCTTCTGGAAGGAGGTGTACGTGTGTATGTGCATCAACATCCCCTGCATCCCGGCAACAGGAATCCCACGTGCACACCGCGCACAGCGAGCACCCCCACCACACGGCTGTGCACAGCCCAGACCCAACGGTTCCACGGCCAGCTGTTCGGTAGGCCCCTAGCTCATCAATTGTTTTAAAACTCACAAACAAATGCAAAAATGCAGTAATCCTTAGAGCTACATCTCTGGGCAGGTATCTTCATCACCTCCTTAGGGTGAGTACAACCTACAGGGCGAGCCACGACTCCGGACCGTCCCTCGGTTCTCCTCACACTGCGCCTGGGGCTCTACACACAGTGTGGCCGTGCCGTGCCGCTGCCCCAGGATGTGCCGGCCCCCCAGGAACTCGCCCCCGGGGACACTTACCCCGCCGTGCCCGAAGAACTCACAGTAGCAGCAGTCACAGTACTTGCCCTCCTTCTGGTTGGTGGAGGTCGAGGTGCTGGAGCTGTGCTCGGAGCAGCTGTCCTCGTCAGCACTCTCGTCCCCGTCGTCTTGCTGCGGGTCATACACGCCGTTCTCACAGCGGTGCCCCTCGCAGTCGGGGTCACTGTGAAACCACACATAGGCGGTTACCAGCCGCCAGCTGTATGGGGAGCAGGGTGCTGCCCGGACACCAGGAGCCACACAGGAAAGGCGGTGTGGGCAGGCACATAATCTTGGAGGCCACACTCAGTCTCTTTCTGCACTGTCCCTCCTGCCACCGCTTCATGGGGCGGACGGTGGAGGTTGTGTGGGGATGGCTTCACATAGGCAAATTCAGACACAACACAAATCATCTTTTTATGTTTTTTAAGTAGGCTTCCTGCCCAGCGCAGAGCCCAACTTGGGGCTTGAACTCACCACCCTGAGATCAAGACCCAAACTGAGATCAAGAGTCAGACGCTCAATTGACTGAGCCACCTAAGTGCTCCCTAAATCATCTTTTTTTTTTTAAAAAAAAAAAACTGTTGTTTGGGGCGCCTGGGTGGCTCAGTCGGTTGAGCATCTGACTTCGGCTCAGGTCATGATCTCGCAGTCTGTGAGTTCGAGCCCCGCATCAGGCTCTCTGCTGACATCTCAGAGCCTGGAACCTGCTTCGGATTCTGTGTCTCCCTCTCCTTCTGCTCCCCCTCCCCCCGCCCCCTTGTCTCAAAAATAAACATTAAAACAAAAAAATTTTTTTTTTTAAAGCTGTTGTATCATTCTTCACTGAATGTCTAACAACTTAAAAAACACCCAGGTACCCCCGACCCCTCTCCCCCGTGAAGCAGCTGGTGGCTAGATGGTGGTCTGCACACCGATCCCTGGTGGCCCCAGCTCTGAGGACTACAGATGCGACCAGTGTCCTCCCCTCGTCCCACGGCCTCTGCTGGGCACGCCCCTGTCCATCTTTCCCTGGCCGTTCAGCCGCACATGCCCAGGAACAGATCGCCGGGGCGGGCCCCAGGCTCACCTGCAGACGCTGGGGGGGGCGCTGAGGGAGCTGTCTGTGGTGGGGGGCGGGGGGGCTCCGGGAGCAGGACAGAAGCTCTTGCGCGTGTCCACAAACCCGGGAGACGTGGCCGCGGTGCTGGGGAAGGACGGGGCCGCGAGACTTGCGAGGTGAGGCGAGGAGGCAGGGGCGAGGGCGGCAGGGGCGAGGGCGGCAGGGGCGAGGGCGGGGAGCGGCGCCAGGCCCGTGGGGCTGTTCCTCGGGGCGGCCGGCACCGCATGTCTGTGGTCCTCCTTGCTGACGCCGTGGAACACCTCGCCTGCGTGTGGAGACACAGAAGGGTCATCGAGGACGCTGCACTAAGTTAGTTTCTGTTCACTAAACCTTTTCTCAACCTTTTCGTGTGAAGATGTTCGAAGCTCTATAGAGACTGTGAAGGCACAGTTACGAAGACGACCCACATACCCCTCACCTGGATTCACCACACTGAACATGCTGTCACACGTGTGGGTGTTGAGCCACACACTTTTTTGGCTTAACACTAAACACGTCAGCACAAACCCTGGAGGACAGGACACTTCGCTGTGTGACCACATCAAAGATACACTGTCCATGTGCCATTCTCATCCCGTCCCCCATGTCCCCCACCCAGCCTTTGTAGCTTTCCCCCAACCCAGCCCCTTGTCAACTTTTCTCCTCCTGCAACACTGCATTTTCTGAGTTGAGGACAGCTGCCCACCAGCATGGGCTTACGGTGTCACGTCAGAGTTAGCAGACATACTCCGGGCATGACGGATCCTTCCTGCGTGATCGCACAAAGAGGCCCCTAGCATCAGTCCGTGCCCTGACGGGGAGGTCACCTCTGACCAGTGTGCAGGGGGTGGTCTGCCGGATTCCTCCAGCGAGGGGCACTTGATATTCCCTTCGTGATCTGCCAGTCACCTGTGGCTGCTGCTCCTGGACAGTGGGGATACTGCATTCCCCAGGCAAACACCCGCTGTTTGTCACGACCACCGAGGGTGCTCACCTGGACTGACAGTCACCCTGAAGGCTGCACGGTGGCCTTCTCTGTCATGTCTATCATGGAGCAGCGGTGAGTGTCTGTCTGTCTAAGAGCTGCCTCACCCTCCTCCCTTCTCTGAACACCCGGATGACTCCTGACTGTACGTGCTATAATCTATCCTATTATTCTTTCTGATGCTAGCGAGGGCCCTGGGAGCCAGCTCCTACGTGCCTCTGACCTCTGCTTCCAGCTCCCCTCTGCTTGTGCTCACACCACAGCGTGGAGCCATCTGAGCAGCACGGGGGCTGGGCCGCAGCCCGGCCCGCAGCCCCATCAACGCCCTCTCCACCAGGCTTCTGCTTTTAAAGGACAAATTCCTTCTCATGCTCAGAAAGCAGTGACCCCTTCCTCTCTCACAACTACAGGAACAGAAAAGAAAGGCAAGACAGCGTGGCAAGGCCCCGGAGGAAGTTGGTGGGGCAGCAACATACGAATCAGACTCGCAGGGAAGTGCCCTCTGCTTGCCAGCACTTTCCAGGGCTACCACCACACCTGGGCCTCTGGCCATGCCAAGGAAAAGGCAATTACAGAGGCGCTGGGCGGGCCTTACCTAGGGAGGGAGGCCTCTTGGATGACACTTTGAACTGGCTGTTGCTTGACTGCACGGTGGTGGCTGTGCAGGATACGGAGGAGGTGGCGGACGACGTGGCCATCACGACTTTGTTCGCCTCCAGGAAGGCGTCTTGGAAATTGTATAAGCACTTCTGTTTGGCGGCACTTTTTTTCTCCTTGCTCTCCGACATGGTGGGCGCCTCATCGCTGGGCGGAGGCGGGAGGGCTTCGGGTCTGGGTTCGGACAGCGCTGGCCCTAGCATGTCACCCCCTTCAGAGAAGAATGCGAGAATTAAGGCTCCTGAGGAACACATAACCAACACCTACGGGACGTCTGCCAACAGAACTCCTAGCATTGGGGCCGCTACAGAGGCTGGGGTCACACAGGGTGATGCTAGACAACGAGTTTTCATCTAGGAAAAAACGTATTGAGCACCTACTATGTGCCAATTCCTGTGCTAGGTGCTTTCCCAAAGCGGTTTTACTTAATGTCTTAAAGCTACGTTCTGAGCTTGGTGCTATCATTCCCATCCTAAAGATAGAGAAACTGAGGCTCAGAGAGGCTAAGCAACTTGCCCAAGGTCACACAGCTAGAAATCCTTTCCAAGCACAGATGTCAAGTCTAGCGTGCTTTTCTGAGCACATGCGGGGGCTGGGTGTGGGGCCACCAAGGGCTCTAACCACGTGAAGACAGAGCTAAGGGTGCAGCCAGCCCCTCTTCGGGTGCACCTTTCCCTACAACTGGAGTAACAGCTGCGGCTCAGCAGCTGAGCGCTGGGAGGAGGGAGCTGAGAGGGGACAGGCCCCATGTAGGGTCAATATCAATACAGAAACAGAGAAAAGGAACGTAAGTCACAGCATTCAAGTCGACGGTGGTGCTGCTGCAAGACCCCTGTGCACTGGGTTGAGGGCTAGTTGTGATCACTGCTCGAGAACCAGAGGCCAAACACTGAAGCCTGGAGACGAGACGCCGGGCAGCGCTGGGGTGGCAGAAACCCTGCTGGTGCGCAGGGCCCTGGCTGGCGGCAGATGTGGGCGGCTGCAGCGGGACGGGGCCGAGGGGCCTCCCACTAGCGACAAAGGCGGGGCCCGACTAGCCTAGGGCTTCTACTGGGGGACCGAGGCAACAGACGGCGATCCACCCAGCTCAGGTCATTTTAAACCTTTAAGAAAGTTTTAACAAGTTCCTTACCAGAAATTGTATCTGGCAAGAAAGTGCCAGGATTCCAGTTCTTATCATTCATCACTTCTGATCCCCAAAGACTTATAAATTTAGAACTATTCCACTCTGGAGTATTCCCAAAACAGCTTGGATAAATATGGTCTTGAAGAGATGCATTGAATACCTGATGCTTATTTGTGTGATTCTGAACAGGTGCTGGCGGTAAAGCCTACAAAAAAAAATGTTCTAATCACATATCAAAATTAATATTCTGTTTTTACCTACATAGTTAAACTACAAGCAGACAAACCATGACTGAAAACCCTGTGGGGACGCGCTCGCTGTGGGCAGGCGTCCCGGGCTGAACGCTTCTCGTGGAGCGCTTACTTGGTTGGCTGTCACGCCGTGCACGATCGGTCACATGTGAACCAGGCGTAGGTTTTAAAAGCAACTGGTGTCTCCGGGAATCTACCAAATAGACCTGAGACCACTCAGCAACGTACAGCACTCCTCCCTCGGCACCGTCTCCGTGGGGCTCGCTTGCGTACGAGCTGCTCCTGGGGCTCAGCCTCATCTGGCATTTCCAGGATCACTGCTAAAAAGCCAACTTTGGAATCACTAATGAAAAATGGTGAAAGTCTTAAACTACTGGCTCACACCTGGGCGAAGTGCAGGCACGTCTGAGGAACTATGGATTTCACGTGAGCCCGGAAGCACGCCCAGGCCCTGCCGGGGCACAGAGGGCGGGTGGCTGGCTGCACACTCCCCTGCCCCCCCCCCCCCCCCCCGCCACACACCCCTCCTCCTGGGCAGAGGCAGCCCCTGCATCTCCCACCCAGCCTCCTTCCAGTCCTTTCCCTCCCGGCAGCCAGAGTGAGCTTTTGAGAGCGAGGCACCCCCTTGCTGGGGACATGCCCATGTCTTCCCGCTGCTCTTAGGAGAAAATGGCAAGCCTGTAACATGGCCTGGCCTGGCCCTCCTGTTTGCCAAGCCCCTGACACACAGGCCTTCCCTTGGCCCTCAAATCCAATCTCCTCCTTGACCCTGAGCTTGGCCTGTGCTGCACCCAGGTTCTGAAACATCCTAACCTCAGCTCACAACCTCGCTGACGTCCATTCATCCTTTAGGCCTCAGCCTAAACATCCCTTCCTCCAAGAACTCATCACTACCTTTGCCCTCACCACCCAGCACCCGAGACCAAGGTGGGCCTTCCCAGGCAACACACCTAAAATCCAGTTTTCCCACTTAGAGCTTACTATGGCTATGACTCAAGACTTCCTTGTGGTCTGCTGGTTTAACTTCTGCCCTCCTTCAGGCGGGTCCTGGCCCTGCTGCCCCCGCACCTTGCTGGTGCCAGCACACAGCTTTCCCTCCCCAGGAGGTGGGACAAAGCCCTCAGGGCCTGACTAGGGCAGAGCTTAGGAGGGAATGGGGACAGCACAGGGACAGTCCACATCCACAGACAACTGCCCCACAGCAAGACAGGCTGCAGGAGCCAAGGCAGAGACGTGTCTGCATGGCCTCTGCCTGGAAGGGGAGAGGGCACCGCAGGGAGCAGTCAGTCAGGGTTCAAGAGATGAGGCGGCAGTGGCGGTAGAGACGGAGAGGAGGGGTTCTGGGGCCATCAGGACATTCGCTGCAGCTACCGGAGCAGGAGCCAGAGACCACAGTTCCCAGGAGGTGTGGTCAGTGACACAGCTGGTCGGAAACACCAGTCCTGTTCTCAGTCTTCGGGCTGCACAGCCTGACGGGTCTGGACGCCAGCTCTCCCTTTTACTAGCTGTGTGACCTCAGGCAAATTACTCAATCTTTTTGTGCTTTAGTTTTCTCATCTGTAATTTGGAAATACCTACCTCCGAGGGTTGTGGTAAGAATTAAACTGGACAGTGGGTGTCGCTGTGCAGCACACAGATGGCTGAGGTGGACGGTCACCACTTTGTGAGACTGGTCCTTAGACACAGAGCAACCCCGCCCTGCCCTCGGCCACGCCGCCCATCCTGGGTACCAAGAGGAAGTGGGCATCACGCTGCTCAGGTGGCTCAGCACACTCGTTGGCCTGCAACAGGCTCAGGGAGGTGGAGGTGCAGGGTGGGGAAGGAGTGGACCCTCGGGCTGTCGAACGGGAAGAAACAGGTCTGGATGCCCAGGACCAAGGCAGGAGCCTCATCTAGCGTTCTGTCAGGGGAGCCCCATGGGCAAAGAGTGAGGAGACCAAGAAAGCCGTACTTCTACAGACCCCAGTTTTCACAAAGTCATGATAAACTAAGAGCTGCTTTGCTGAGGGGGAATCGATGGGAAGGAAGTTTCTCAGTTTCGAAGACCTTCTGCTAAGGGGCAGAGAGCCCAACAGGTGGAAGCCAGCTGGCTCCGCAGGCGGCACGGCTGCTTTGAGAAAGCCTGGCGGGCAGCTCTGCACAGCCACGGCACGTCCGGGCCCCGAAGCTCCTCGCTACTTCCCGAGACCCTCCTGACCCACGGCTGAGAGCAGACAGACTTCCCCACGAGGGAGCCTGGCTGAGAGCCTCGCTGCTGCCCGCCTGTGTCCAGAGAGCTCATGCTCAGCCTTCCAAACACTAGCCAGCCTCACCTCCTCTGCAAAACCACCCCACGGGCTCAGTCAGCAACCCTCCCTCTCCAGGGTGACCTTCCTACTCTGCATGTACAATCCCTGGTAAGGTGTGCCATGGCATTCCGAGGTTTGGATTTGATTCTGTCTTTGTCTTTAGCCTCGGAGATCCTGAAAAACAGGGGCCATGGCTCACTTGTTTCTGTTTTGCTAGCATGTAGCACAGGGCCTGGCACATACCGGATGTTCAATAAAGGCTGAACAGAGTTTAATTTAGAAGGAACGGGAACACAACTATAAAGCTGAAATAACTGAAAACTTCAATTCAATTCAATTCACACACTTCTTCAGAAGCCCATTTACTCAGAACAGGAAGTCCAGTTGTAGAGACCAAGGGAGCAGGTGGTCCCCACAAACAAGCTGCGTTTATGGGAATGCTCTCCCACAAGACAGCTAAGCCTCAACAGATGTGGGTTTCCTTTAGGACAAAAACCGGCTTCTGTCAACTAGACCGACTGCGGGGCCAAGTACAACTGCCCGCTCAAGTACACCAGTGATTTAAGCATAAAATTAGTCTCTCAACATATGGATAATGCTGTTGAATTACAACACTGATTTATTTCACTCTTTGTACAAATCCACACGGCTTCAATTAACAGAAGTTTTCAACTGTTCTCCACTTTGACACAAAAGTGATTTACAGGAAAGTAACATTTTTTTTCTTTTAATTGAGAGCTCTGACAAACACACATGACAGATGCCTTCTAAACACCTTCCGGGTTTCTGCGGGAGCCAGGAGACCCAGCCGTACTGCACACCAACCCACCTCCAACCCAGATTCCGTCAACATGGCTGCTGAACACAACTAGCCAACAGCACAAAAGACCGAGTCTGTGCACCCACGCGTGAGAGCAGCTGCCAACACTAAGCACTCAAACAGAAAGGGATTCCAGTTACACCCCAGTGAGCGGGAAGCGGGATGAGTGACTATTGTTTCTTCTTACTATGGTTCTTCAACATTCCTGCCAGAGACAGTAAAGAGGCCAAATCACCACCTTTGTTTCGGTCTTGCTATTTCTCAGGCCAGAAGAATTGAATACAGCCTCTGAAACAAAATACAGATAAAAAATCACAGGGGCGCCTGGGTGGCTCAGTCGGTTGGGTGTCCGACTTCGGCTCAGGTCATGATCTCACGGTTTGTGGGTTCGAGCCCCGCATTGGGCTCTGTGCTGACAGCTCAGAGCCTGGAGCCTGCTTCGGATTCTGTGTCTCCCTCTCTGCCCCTCCCCTGCTCATTCTCTGTCTCTCAGTAATAAATAAACGTTAAAAACAATTTTTTTTTAAATCACTGTAGGACCCCCAATGGCAATCTGTTTCTGTCCCTGTGTTCCATATAGCTTTTTTCTTCCTCAAATTCCAACCTGACCTCAGACCTGCTCCACGTCTGGTTTCGTCGCTTTTGCAGTGGTTGTGCTAAAGTAACCCAGTGAGGGAGGGGACAGATGTACAGGGCCCAGAGCCACATGGGAGCCACCTTGCCAGGCTCCACTCATACTGAACTCACTGAGGGCCAGGATATGGTGACCATTTCTGACTATTCCTCACGCTCCCAGTGAGACTTCAAAACCTCGCTCTATCTCCATTACTAGGCCCTTTCCTAGCACAATGTCTGTTTCAGAACTCCGTTTCCAGATGGAAACTATGCAACATTTAGAGCTGGAAGCCTTGGGCTTCTTCTGAGCCCAGCTCTGCGGTCATGGCCCTCTGCTCCCAGGCCATGGAGGCCAGCAGGCCGGGCCTGCTCTGTGAAGGAGCAGGGGGCGCAGCCTGCCAGCTCACAGACGTTCTTCTCTGAGAGGCTGTGTGGTCCCCCTCTGCTCGCACTGTGTCCAGTAAGGGGGACATGACACTCTAGCTCCCAGAAAAATGGCACTAAACACCTTTGTAACAAGGTGCTCAGCCACAGAGAAATCAAGGGGACTCTTTCACAGAGTGAAAACGTGTGGGGACGGGATGGCTTCCTTGAGGGCACATGCACCGTCGTCACAGTGATGGGAGACAGGTCTGTGGTCCCGCGGGAGGCAGGAGAGCTGGAGACTGCCAGGAGGAGTTCAAGGGTCCCAGGGGTCTTCCCCTACTTAGGGCCTTGCTGTTCTCACCGAGTAAGTTGAACAAAACATGACCCCATAAAAAAAAAATCACTATACATATAGGAAACAACACATCCACAGGAGCAACCAAACACCCAGATTTAGATCCTCAAGGTTTCATTCAAACACAGAACTATGTGTAAAATGCTTAAAGAAAGAAAAGATGGAAGAAAACATGATCAAGGAACAAGAAAACATAAAAAGTTGCTAACGTATTTTAAAAATAAATTAACAAGGGGCGCCTGGGTGGCTCAGTCGGTTGAGCGTCTGACTTCGGCTCAGGTCATGATCTCGCAGCTCGTGAGTTCGAGCCCCACATCGGGCTCTGTGCTGACAGCTTGGAGCCTGGAGCCTGCTTCAGATTCTGTGTCTCCCTTGCTCTCTGCCCCTTCCCCACTCACATTCTGTCTCTGTCTCTCTCAAAAATAAATAAACATTAAAAAAAATTTTTTAATAAATAAATAAACTAATGAAAGCTTACAAATCAGAACCACAGATGGAATTAATACGTCAAACTGAAGCGGCAGGTTAGACACACCAGAGAGTCACATAACTGGAAGGCGGATGCAAAAGGGGTTCTCGGGACAGACTGGGGCGGACGCACAAAGCAGGGCGGCAGGCCAGGGGCAGACGAGGGACACAGAAGATGAAAGGGTTGGGCATCATCAGACAGGGATTTAAAATGACTAATGTGGTGAAGGCTTGAGTGGAAAAAGCACACAACATGCGAGAACAAACAGGTAACGTGAGCAGTGAGAAGGAAACTGCAGAAGAATAGAACAAGCCAGGCACAAAGACAGTGCAAGAGAAATGAAGAACGCTTCTGATGAAGGGATCATAAGTGGACAGGACGCGGCCAAGTAAAGAGTCAGTGACCTTCCAGATCTGTCAACAGAAACTTCTCAAACTGAAATGCAAAAAGAAACAAGAATCAAAAAAAACCCAAACCAAAAAAACCACCGCCACCACCGACCAAAACCAGAGCAACACATCCAAGAAGTGTGTGACAATTTCAAAAGATACAACAAACAGGAACTAGAATACCAGAAGAAGGCAGATAAAAGACACAAGAAATACCTGAAGGAATAATGGCTGAGAACATTCCAAGATTAACAAAAGACAATGAACCACAGATCCAGGATGCTCAGAGAACACCAAACAGAAAAAAACACACCCCCAACTCTACACCTAGGCGTTTTATATTATCAAACTGAAGGAAACCAAAGACAAAAAGAAAACCTTGAAAGCAGCCTGGGGAAAGGGAGGAAAGAGGAGGGGAAGGGAGAAGAGAGGGGGAGGGATCCCTGCACCTCTAAGAATAAGGAGGAGAGTTAAAGAGGACATCTCATCAGAAACCATGCAAGGTAAAGGTAGAGTGAAATTTGCTTAAAGTGTTGAAAGAAAAAACCCCGCCAACCTAGAATTCTGATTCCAGCGAAATTATCCTTGAAAAGGGAAGGAGACATAAAGACCTCCTCAGACAAACAAAAACTGAGGGAACTCATCGCCAGCAGACCTGCCCTGCAAGGAACGTTATAAGATTTTCTTCAGGCAGCAGGAAAATCATACAGGTCAGAAACCTGGATCTGCATAAAGAAAGGAAGGGAATGGGGAAGAAATAAATATAAGTGAGATAAACTTATTTTGCATCATTCATTGATCTAAAAGATAACTTTGCTTAAGCATTAGCAGTAACGATGCACTGGGTGATTAATAAACAGATAAGTGAAAACAATACAGCACTGTCACAAGGGATGGGAGGGAAGGGCTGGGAACAAACACTCTATGAAAAGGTACCTATATTAACACGAAGCAGAGCAGTTCTTTGAAGGAGGACTTAGATGAGGTAAAATGTATATTCTAACACAACTGCCAATTTTTAAAAAAAGTATCATCAGTATGCTAAAGAGAAGAGCTAAACTAGAATCAAAAAATTAAAAGTGGAGAAGGCAAAAAAAGAAGCCTCTGGTAATGAACAGAGAACCGGAAAATGGTTACTCTTAACCCAAAACACCAAAAATCACTTTAAACGTGGCTAGTCTAAATATACCAATGAAATGACAGAAACTGTATTCAGAGTATATTAAAAAACAAGACCCATCTACGTGTGTCTGCAAGAAACCTACTGGAAGTACAAAGACTGCTTTAAGTTAGAAGTAAAGAAATGGAGAAAGAGACGCCCTGCTAATGTAAATGAAAAACTGGAGGAGCTGTGTTAATTTCAGACAGGTCAGCCCTCAGAGCAAGGAAGATTCTCAGGGATAAAGTAGGGCAGTACATAATGATACAGAAGGGCTAATCCCCCCAGAACACGTAACAATCCTGAACATGTGAGCACCTAACAACACAGCGCCCAGCTACGCAAGACAAAAACCGACAGGACTGTAGGAGGAAGAGGAGAACCCGCCCGTAGTCAGGAGGCTCTGACACCCACCCCTCTGTCAGGAGCGGACAGATCCAGCAGCAGGTCAGGAAGGACATCGTTGAACTCAACAGCACCATCAGTCAACGGCACCTAACGGATGTCTGTAGCCGACTTCATCCACCAACTGCAGAATATGCAAATTCTCAAGGCCACACTCACCAAGACAGCCCACATTCTGGGCCACAAAGCACACTTCAACAAATTCGAGAGAGTAAAAGTCATACGATGTCTGCTCTCAGACCACAAGGGAATTAAAGCAGAAATCAGTACCAAAAAGAAGGCTGTGAAATCCGCAAATATTTGCAAATGAAACTCCCTGTCATATAGTTTTAATTTTTGTCTAGAATTTCCTTACTGCCTTTTCCTCCTGCAACTACATTTAACTTTGAAATGACTTCGATCTCAGCATATAAGATACATGTATCACTGGTACAAAGACATTTGAAAACCAGAAACAATCTTCAAGTTTTCCTAAGTTCAAACAAACAAACTTTCTACACTACTCATCCCAAGCGTTTTAGGTACTAAATATTTACCCACAATGGCCACAGTATGAATTAAAAGAATTACAACTATAATGACACGAAGGCTTAATGGTGACGGATGCCACTTTACCAGAGTAAAGATCCCTAACGGCCCCACAAACACAAACAGGGAAGCAGAAGAGCTCCGTGAGCACAGCCGCCCTCCTCCACGTTCAGTGCCCACCTCTGCCTCCCAATGACACGGGGACATCCTCTGAACACGCTTGCTCTGATGTAACTGAACAAGTGTGTGAATTCTCTAGAAGGGGCTTCTACCAACTCCTATGGGGTTGTGAACACGTTATGCATTAGCTACACGTGTATTCACAGTATTCGCTGAAGTCAAACTAACTCAAGTAATACAAACCAATTTTGGAAGACCTTGTAAGTGACAACGCTAGCTTGTTAGAGAAACAAACGTCTTTTTATCAGCTACAATTGAAGTATTTTGCCAAATGCATCTCATTTTTCTAAATAAAAATGGCATCCAGTTAATGTATTTTACATGCATCACTGAACAGTCTTGACATTCATAGCACAGTGACTGAAATGAAGCTTAACAGCTCGTCCTCTGTATTTGCCCTTCTACCAATGAATCCTTCATCACGTCTATTTACTAGATTAAAATTGAAAAGGTATTAGATAAATAGATTTTATATACAGATGATGCTCCCCCCAAATATTTTTCTTCTCTTTTACCATTTTAGGGACTACTTATAATGCTGTGAGAAAAGGCCAAAAGTTAGGGGGAAAAATACCCGTTTTTAACTGGAGTGTCCCAGCAGCCTCTGGGGAATAATCAGCTTCACTGCACTCTATTTCTAGGGGTGGTTCCTAGGGACTAGACAGCAGTTCTATCCAGGGAAAAACAGAGTGGATAGCTTCCCCACCTCATATATTCAACCAGAGAGAAAGAGGCTATGTAGACTAGGCGACTGTGAAAACAGGCTGGCTTTGAATATACACCTGAAAATGCTATTTCAAATCATTTTACTAATAAAGCCATCATTCAATGTCAAACTGAGAGATACCCAATCGAACAAAATTTAAGCATAAACCTGGGTAGTTACCAATTACTTATCACAACAAAACGTAACAAACTGATTCTACTTTACTCTGAATCAGTGGTTGTCACTCTCCTACCCTAACCCCTCCCCAGAAAACAAAGCCCACTGGTGGGCTACACACACCCCACTTCATGGCAGACACCCTTGCAGGGAGAAAATGTGTGTGCGGTTTGAAAAAGCCCCTTCCACCCTGCGTTCTCCTCCCTTCTCCCAGTTAAGAATCACGGTTTTAAATCATAAGTCTGTAGTTTGGGGAAAATTTTATTTTTGATTAAAACTCATCTTGAACCAGAATAACTGATAGAAAAGGAAACCAAAAATCAGAATTCAGAAGAGTCAATAAAGCTAAGTTCAAAATAGCTAAGGAGGCAAAGCTATCTAAGGTACAAAGAATGAAACCAACCTAAGAATTTCTCTGCAAAGCCTAAGCTACTCAAATAGAAGCATGGTGTTCTCTGAGAAGAAATACATGAAAATCGAACTTCTTCTAGATGCCCACTCTTTCTCTGAACAAGCCTGCAGCACAGCCAGTTTCTGGGATGCCCTTTCCCGTGTGCCCGCCAGCCACCCCTCAACAACCACCTGACGCTGGGACTTCTTCGTGTAGTGCGCTCAGGATTCCTCCTTAAGTCTGTGTATTTCGACAAGTCCTTAATTTTTGCACATAGAGAGCATAATCATTTCAGATACTGGAGAGCCCTGCTAGGGTCAGAAGACTCATGCGTACTCAGTATTTTACCCATACAATGTTAGGAAAAAGAGCCAGGGCCCAGGGCGCCGTAAGTAAAGAACCGAACTATGTCTTGGTGAGAAGAGCTATCTGTGCAGGCACCCAAGGATAACTCGTTACACCAACATCACCTGGGAAACTCTTTACATTCTGGTTAATTCTGAAGGAATACATCATGACTTTTGTGATTGTTCTTACAACCGTGAACATTCAAAATTCTGAGAGCTTAAGAGATTACGATAAAAGGAGACATTTGCAGACCTCCCATCAGGAGTAGACATGGTCCTATACAAGTTGACAATTTATGACTTTTGTCTGTTAAACTATGCACTTCTTGCAAAGACCTTAGTGACAGGGGAGCTTCAGGCCCTCTCTGCCTTGACTTACCTTACTGTGTGTGAAGGGGGGTGCTGTATACAAGGTGGGGTGGATGAGAGGGCGGGGCAGGTGTGGGACTGCGTGCAAAGGCACATGTCCGTGGATGTGGGGGTAAAGATGCAGAGCAGGGTGTGTGGGCTTCTCTGGGCTCATGAACTGATGGCCGGGAGGAAGGGCGCCAGCTGTCATTGCTGATGCTGTCAGTCCAGAGGCTTCTTGTTTACAAACATGACATTCACAAGTGTTTGGAGTTTGTTCAGCCTGAAAGGAAAGAAAAAAAAAAAAAAAAA